CGTAAATACGCATTAAAAAAATAGGCTTCAATAAAGGCTTGGCTAATAAAGCTTTTCATGCGGCTCAATTGAGCAGTTGCTGAGTCATGCAATTATAATTCTTCCCCCTAAACCCTCAATCTATAGACCCTAAACCTTCCCCCTAATTCAAATTAGGGTTTAAAGGGCGGTGCTACTTCCGGGTGGATCGGGGGAAAAGTGTTTTTATAATTAGGGATCTCTTTAGTAAATGGGGGAAGGGATTATGAAAAAACCTGTTGCTGATAGTCTTCTGATTGCCTTGCAGCCAAAACAAGACAATGTGGTATCTTGCCAAATTTCTGCCATGCTGACCACGTGGAATCATTGAAAGCCTGGAGGTGTGCTCGAGTGTTTACCAATAATACGCTTTGGCACTGCCACGTTGACTGCGTCCTGCTGAAGCATTGCACTGTGGACATTACGCATTACGAACAAGGAGTAGCCTCCTCATGACAGCACCCCAGGCTTTCCTGCCCATTCACCATCTGACCTTTGCGCCCTCAAGTCTTGCACTTCGGAGGCGGAGAGAGAGAGAGAGAGAGAGAGAGAGAGAGAGCGAGCGAAAGCGGCGAGCGAGCGAGACAGAGGAAGACAGAGTCATGGAGAGAGAGGGAGACGATTAGACCAACAGACAGTGCCAAACCGCAAACCACGTGACTGTCGTAGTCGTGGGGAAATAAATCCATTGGGCCCAACTGTAAGGCTGTGATTGCCACAATCTCCGACTAGATTTCCGTCCCATACTAGTAGAGCCAGCAAAACCAGCAGCTGAGATCAGCAGAGCTTGACTTAGTGCGAAGGGGGCTGCCAGCAAGTAATCTTGCTTGAATAGGATACATAAAAACAGGAGCACGTGCCAGCGCGGAGTCAGTGTGGCGAATACCCATGCAAAGAATGCAAATAGCCAATAGAACCTGCGGCCACAAAGAGGTCTCCTACTATAAATGCCCGCAGATCCCAGGATGGTGGCGGGGCAAAGGGAGTCAGGGGAGGGAAGGCGGGACCGGGAGGGATCCTGAAAAAAAAATTGAACTTAGCATCCATGCAGCACTACGTTCATGACAACATTTCAAATCAAATCCTGAAACCAACAGAACCAGGGAGTGAGTGAGGGAGGGAAAGAACGAAAGACCTATAAGCATGCAACGAACAGCTCCTTCGTTGAATGGTGAAATGTCAACACAAAAGCCAAGCCTGTGGTGGATCGCTGTGCAAAAAGAGACATGGCTTGCTGTGCGCATGGTCGACTTTCATGCAAGCAAAACAAGAGCCACGAACGGATGCACCGAGCAGCAGGTAGGCGTAGTACTTGTCTTCGTGAAGAGCCTTCGCCTGGAAGCTGCAACGCTCTCGAAGTTCTTCGGCAGCAATAACCTAAGCAACAAGTGCTAATCACATCCACATCGGTGGAGTCGTGGGCAGGTGCACATGACGTAGCGGCATGGAGGCATTGATACTAAATGGTATGCTTTGACGGGTGGGACTGTGAGATCTCTCGGGCCCAAGCGAGGACGATCATCGGAGCAAATGCTCGTGGAGTCCAGCTGTACGCTCTCCTGGGCAAACCCGACGGCACATGACGGCACGACTGTGAATCACCCCAAACCTGATTCTGATACGGACACGGCGCACCCGATATCACGCGATGGATAAACTGAAATCAACACCTGTGGACTGTGAAACTCGCAAGAACATAACGAGTGGAAGAAGGCAAGCAACACTTTCAGGTAAATCGACGGAATGTGGGTGAGGCGGTCTGGAGCGGGGCACAGAGGGTTCACTAGGGGAGTTTAATAGATGCATCATATGGTCATATATCTATAAATATACATATATATGTACTGTTGCTGTACTTATATCAATCCAACATTTTTTGGCCAGGCGAATCGGAGACTGTTTCAAATCATGATATACATGGTGTCCAGTGGCTCTCGGGTACGCAATCGTCGTAGCGCGTGTGCAATACCGAAGTCACAGAGGTGTGAACTTGAAAGCATCCCCGCTGCACTGCATGGTCTGAGTCTCAGTGTCGATGCATACCCTTGGTATCTAGCTCTATGCACTCGCAGGTTCAGTATGATTGGATTTTAGCAAATTTCGCAAGACGGCTATTGAGTTTACGCCCATGCAGTCATACTGCCACGGCACCGTGCCAAGTGCTTTCGAATCAGACCGCTCTCCACACGGTGATTTTGACAAGTAGCTAGTTCCTCTGCAAGACAGAACCAGGCAACTAGGACCTAGGACTCTGTACTCACTGTCGCTCGAACTTTGCTTCCCTCATTGGTATGGCATCTTCGCGACACGACGGCAAGTTGTTGCCCTGGAGCAAGGCGAATGATGCGAATGTTTCCACGCCCAGACTCTGTGTTTTATCAGCGTGGCTCGAAGGATCTTGGTGATTTTCTTCTTCGGCTTGATTCGGCTTGTCTCTGTGCAACATGCAGAAGGCACAAGTGAGGGCCGCGGCCGGTACACCCGAGGCCCTACAAGAATGCTTACATGCCTGCAGGCGCATGTCCCCCATCGCTTCTTTCTGTTGACTTCAGAGCGGCTCAAACCAACACCAAGAGCAGATGTGAGATGCCAGGAAAAACACTGGAGGTCAGGCGGACCCCCTTCGAGGGGTGGAGGGGGTCCGAATTAGGTCGACCATCTATTTCCGAGTCTGCACAGTGCTGGGAGCTCCGAAGCATGGGGACAGCATGGGACAGCGTTTTTTGTTGCTCCAGACACCAGTCCACTCAGACAAACCCTCCTGTCTCTTTCCCGAGCATTGGCACTGTGAGAGGGCCCAGAAGATGAGCTCTGAGTCCTGGGCACTGTGACAGAGTGCAGATACACCGCGAAAGGGCGACCGTGAAAGAAGAGAAGACTAGAAAAATAGGTGTTTGCCAAAGGGAGGCACTCAAACCGTACGGTGCCCCCTCGGAAAGCAGCTCACACTCTCCGAGAATTTGACTTTCTTCCCCAAGGCTCTCCATCATCCCGTGAAAAAACCTCGGCTGCAGCCGCGCTTATTCTCGACACCACGACTTTGCACACATGTGCTGTTCCCTATACCCGTCGACAAGTAGACCGGATGGACCGAAACGACAGCAATCCGAGTTCTCCACGTCTCATGCCAAGACATGCCACTACTGCCCGCATTGCTGTTCACAACATGGTCTCCCGCTTCATCGGCTGTTTTATCCGTGAGGCCTTCTGCAGCAAGTCAAGGAGTCAAGCAGACCAACATAAAAGTGCCCAGTTGAACTGTGGGACTCAACACTGCAGCCCGGGCGCGCGCCGCACACGAAAAGGAGGATTAGGACGGCATAGTACTGCGGCCTCAGGCAAGCGGCCAGGAGGAATTGCTCGGAAGCTCAAGGTCAAGCCGGGTCCAATGGCATTCACAGGCTGGTGAGCTTCGTTGGCTTAGCTGGGGTTGCGGCGGGAACTCAGCAGGGCAAAGCTTGATTTCGTCCGGCGTCCTCAGTACAAGCACGTGCGCAAGATGGCCCGGACACCAGACTCCAAGATCTCAGAGAAGCTTGCGAACCGAGAGTGTTTGAGTTGTCACTCAGGTGTCTCCTGGCATAAGTCTGGAGCACCGGCAATCAGTGCGCTACCGTTGCGCATGCCAAAGATGAGCTGCTAGCCTGAACACATTCTTACATGAACATTTCTAGGCGATGACTGCCGGACTACGAGCACGACTCACGCAGGCGTGTACCTCAGAAGGTGCGACCAGGATTATGTTATTGTTTTGAGTGACACTACGGTGCCGGTGCATCGAAATGCAGCAGCATGAACAGTCAAGAACTCAAGAGTCTTACCACAGTGAGCAGCAGTCACACAGCTCTAGAACAGCCAGGTCACACCACCAAGCCCTCCTGGCATGCCAAAGAGACTCCCATAAGAATAGTATTTCCTGCAGGCGGGTCGACTATGCCATATCTGCGTCATGCACACATGTACTGATGCTGAGTGGCACACCTACCATCATCGTCGCAAAGATGCGAAACCTGCCGAGGACGGGGAACCAGTTCAACAAGCCTCCAAAGTCACTGATACAGTGCAGCGAAGAGGCACCTGAACATCATGATGCTGTTCGTCCAGCCTAGGACGAGACCTGGATGCATCCCACATATAACAACAGCCTTTTTGCAGACTCAACGTGTCTGTTTGCGCCTGTTGCACCTAGTTCAGATGCAACATCGTGCCCTGTCTTCCATGCCGGCCTGAAGTTATCCTGCAGACCAAGGAGCAAAAGCAAAGATGCAGCAACGTCCTCAGCTGAGACAAGCTGGCACTCTCATTAATGTCATTGCGAGACTGCAGCCTATTTAGTCCAAGTCATTCTGTGTGCATTTGTGCTTCTCCACTCCTGTCTTGTCTACCATGGAATCATCGCTGTCACTTTTAGTTCTCCCCCCGCTCAGACCGCAGCTGATTGCTCGTTGAGAAAAGCAGCTTGGCCCACTCCTCCATGCTCACGGCATTGAACTCCATCTCCATTGCAGATCTAAGGCAAATTCCTTCCTCTTGTCAGGCAATGACCTTTTGAGCCAAGACTGCTGCTGGTCTTGGCATCATCGCCTAGTCCATGAAGCCGGCTTGCCGCTCAACATCCATGCGGCAATGTTCCAACCATTCATGCTGTGAATGCCCGCTGCGTGCTGCTTGAGTCGAACTCGCAGATGCTCCAGCAAATTCCGTGCCGTGGAAAGAGTCGAGGTCCCAGCTGCTAAAAAGTGCGACACTCCCATCAAACTTATCTTTCCTTCTGGGTTTCAGGGTTTGCTGTCGCAGCTCCTCGTATTTGTACTTTCGTCGTTGATTTTGGATTTGCTTGCTCGGCAACTGTAAGCCTTGCTTGCTGTCCTCTCACTATTCGAATTCATTACTTGTGCACCCTTCCTTTGCGCCTCTCGCCTCTAGCTTTGAGACGCTGTGAGTTGCAATTGCCACGCTGTCCGCGATCCCACTTCGGGGGCCTGGCTTTCCACGGCGGCAGATCGCTGCGATACCTGCTGAGTTGAGGGTGAAACGAACCGGGGGAAGTGGCAGCTACACAACCTGCGCAGCAATTCCGATGTGCACGAAGACCTGCTCCGATCAGAGCGGCGACATGGCAAGCGATTCGCGAAGCAACAGCAGCGTCATCATCATTACTCTTGTCCACCGCAATCATCATCGTTGTCTCCACCAGCAAAGGAAGACGGGGCAACTACCAGCAAATTGAAGATGGACATCAGAAGCCGAGCACAGCCACGCGAAGACTACAGAAACCGCGACTGCCAACGAAGGTTTTTGCAAGAGAACTGGCACAGTGCATACATGAGGTCAGATGCCCTTACCTTGCACGTCGTTGCGACTTTGCGTGACGCAACACTCACCGCTCGTGCGAGCCATGTGCAAGGAGCCGCTTCGAACCAAGAGACATGTACCATCATGGTGCTTATAGCCCGGTTGCAGACTTTCTCAAACCCTCGAGTGTCACCGCTGTGCCTTGCACTGTACAGGGCAGCTCTCATTAGCAATGGATGCAGGGCCCTGATTCCTAGCTCTGATACATCTCCGAATCAAAACTGTCTGCCCAAACCACCATATTGGACTGCAACAGCGTATGTGATGTAGCTACAACGTTGTCGATGCCTCCACGTTAACGTGCACGAATTAGGCTCTTTGCCAGGGCTTTGCCAGACTTCCCACGTGGCCTCACCAGCGACGGACAAGCATGTGGTCCCTAGCACATGACTCATTTTTGATGCGGGCTGCCTGATGGCAGACCATGACTCGGCAAGGAAGACAAGGGGTTGCGAGTACAAGTAGGGTTAAGGAAGGGGCCCACCCGCGACTGGCCTGCCGAGCCTCATGCTAACGTCATGCCTCATCAAGCTCCTTGATGGGAAAATGTGGCCTGAAAGCAGTCTGTGAATAGGGTTTCCGTCGCGGTTCCCTGCCGTACAACAACGTCAAAACTCTCAACTGGCTTGCGCACACATGAAGCAGTGCTGGGCACCGGGCGAGCTGCCAGGCTCGCCACCAACATTGAACCTGAAGTTCAGCCAGGGCCACCAAGAGGCCAGCAGAGTGACGTGATAATGCCTTGACTGCAAAATGCTTGGACACCCAAGCAACCCGAGATGCTGGCAGTGGATCGCTTTTGACTTGCGAGTCCACGAAGGCAAACGGGTTGCACTGCATGTAGCTGTCCATCTAACAGGGAAACCGCGACGTTGAACCGCCGGTACGAGTAGGGCAAAGTTTTCGACTCAGCATCTGTGGCAAAGAGGTGGGAAACAACACATCAAGTTGCGGAGCTTCTTTATTCTCACTTTGGGACTGCTGAGACCCCGTTCATCCCGATTCCCAGCAAGTTCTCGCAGCTTGACAGAAGAGTGATCCTCTTGTACGTCGCTCAAAAAAACATGCTGGAAAGCTTGCCGGTATGAGGACTTTTCATGCGACTGCTCTACAACTGTTACTTTGCCAATGAGCAAACCAATCTTGTAAGAATCTAAGAGGCTCTGCTAAAATGTCTCTTTTTGAGTTGTACCGCCTTCCACAGCACAACAAAATTTCTCCGATTCTCATGAAAATTGCAGTTCAAGCGGGCTCCAAGTTGATCGCTTCATGCTCTGGGCACTGCACTCAGTACTGCATAGAAACATGACAAACCCAGGAGTGACAGGAACTTGACGTTCGTCCATCAGGGAGCTATTTATGAGAAACTAGATTGTAAGACTGTAAGAAGATTCACTGATTCGCTACAATCACTACAAGTGCGGTCAAGGTATGGGCATGCCTTTGGAACATTTTACGTCTGGGAGAAATCCTTGCATCGATGCGGGTTTCCATTGAGTTTTCGACAGTTTTCGGGATATGGGGCTAAGTTCAGCAGTACTACAGAAACCCAAGGAAACACGAGAAGTACGCAATCAAACACACGAGATGCAACGAGTGCTTTCGAAGAAATGGACGTCTGCATCACAAGCACTTCTGCAAAGACACGCCGATGCGACAAGTACCATCGCAACCCGGCCAAGAAAGCCGTCGCATGAGCGATCTGTAGAAGTCTAGAGCAGGCAAGAGATGAACGAGATTCATAACAACTACATCTCGGACTGTCGGTGACCTTGCAGCAGGAGAATGATGTGATTCGATTGTGGTATACACCTCCAGTGAGCTCGCTGCACCTTGGCATCCGTCCAATTTGAAAACCACTCAATGCGGATGTGTCTTGCGTCGACCGTCTCCTTCTAGTATTGGCCTTGTGATCTGTTACTGTACGTCGTGGCATCATTGGTTTTCGCTATTGCATCTGAGACCCAAACTTTTTGTAGCACTGTCCAAGAAAGAGCTCCTGAAGCACTTCTTCTCACAGCATTGCCGGGTCTTGAAGCTCGACAGACCCTTGATTCAGCCTCGTTTGCATAGCAGTTGCCCTTGTTGTGCGGGCAGGCACCTTCGCTAAGGTCACAGTCTTCTCAGCATCAGCCACGTCTCGTTTACTTCTACATGCTGGCCATGGCAGTCAATGGCAGTGCTGACAGCTTTGACGACGCTCAGCCCTTTAACTGGCAATGCACAAAGCTTTAGCCTGAACTGCCATGCGATGGGGGCCGTGATCTGTACTCAGCACCGAAGCGAAACTGCAGGTGCATGACATAGCCATGGAAACCCGAATACTCAGCATGCGGTACAGTGGCTGTACCACGTACATTTTCAAGTTTGCATCTGCTGCTGTCGCACCTTTTTGGCCATTGATGTCTCCAGCGACGTCAAAGCCATCGCAAAGGGACATCTTCATCTGAGCTCTGCGGAAAGAACCACTGGAAACATGCAGAATCTTCGGTAGCACCGTAGGCCGTAGGTAGAGGGGGCTTTCAGACAACCACAGCAATTCATCTGCACCTGATGTTCAGCCAATAAAATGGCTGGCCCTGCCTGAGTTCTTCTTCGTGGGAATGCCCGTAAATGCGTTACATGCATAGCCATGAAACCGTGTCCAAACCATGGTCACAATGAATGAATATCCTACTTGTGGATGCTGAGTCGACCACTTCCTGGTTGTTGAACCCGCATTCCTGGCACCGTGGTTCAAGTTGAGGCCTAATGGCATCATGGTCCCGCAGTCGTCGGGAATATTGAAAGCATGAGCCATTCGTTGCTTGACAAATTCTACGCTCTGCACGGTAAGTAAATCTGGCATGCCTAAGAGAAGGCCTCCGGCGCTGCACCTTCTGATATTGCATGAGCCCGGTTCACATGGCACAACAACATACTACCCTGTTATGTTGAGGTATGCATTGTCAGTATTTTCTAAAATGGGTTACACAAGCTGGAAATCAAGGCCAAAAACACGCCGTACCCAAGGAGATCTGCAACGTTTGCAATGTTCAACTGGATTTTGTGCTTCTTCGTAAGTCTTACATGCATTGTGGCATAGTGTAGAGGCAGGCAGGCATCCTCGTCCGCATGCCAGGCCTCAATCTTCTCTGCTGCACAACAGGTGAAGGCGGTTGTCCGAATGTTGTGTGTGCCTTGGCTGCCGGACTCATGGCACATCTGATAGAACACGTGATGGACATCCACCGAAGCTCGGAAAAAGGCTACAGTAGCTTTTCTGATCCGGCTGGGGCTTGCTTCGTGTCACAGCTGCTTGAATCCAAGGTGCCATCAGTAAGAATCGAGCACTTCTTATAGCAAATGCCTTCGAATTTCTCCTGCCAGAATGCGTGCAACTGCAACACCATGCAAGGGCCGTCTGATGAATGCTTTTGGCCATGTATTTCTTTCCCAACCAATTTAGCATTTGCCCTCGGTATGAGCCGACAGCATTCGACATCACTTTGCAGCAGCGTAAGAGTCGTTCAGATCCTCGTCGTCATTGCAGGGATTGCCGTCGTTGAGGTCCGCTTTTGGCGCAATTGCCTCGACACATCGTCCGTTCAGGGTTCGGCAGCAGTGTGCAAGTCCGTTACTGCGTGATCTTGGAAACGACTAACGATGAAATTTGATTAAGGGACTGCTCAACCTGTACAGTGATCGAGTGTTGCCTTGCTTCGGGGGTGGGGAGTGGGTGGGTACCGAAGACCATCTATCCATCTGTCTATCCATCTATCTACCTATCTGCATCCTGCCACGATGAACTTTCCGACAAGCTGTCCACTGGTCCAAAACGTGCAACTGAGTCACGCTGGGACCGGCAACTGATGCAGGGAGCGTCCTTGGTCCGTGCAGTCTTGAACTCTCTTTTGTAGTGACAGTAAGGCGGACGGACTACCGTGAATGTTCCACAAGTCTGAGATGCAGACATGGGCGTGAAGACGCCACTCATGATCCAATCGTCGCTTTTTGCCATGACCCCCTCAATCTTGGCCTTGCATGCAAGGACGCCAGGAACCTACATCTCGCTTCTTGTCAGTCAACCTTCGGTAACTACAGCAAGGCCTAAGGCACCGTGCGCGGACTCCATGTCAATGTGGCTTATGAGCTACCAGTAGCCATGGGTCTTTAGTCTTCAAACATGTGAATTAAATCTTGCAATCTGGATTATGTTGCGGGGTGCTCCAGGCCGCGGGGCAGACCTACGGGTAATTGGTAGTCGGGGGAGGGGCCATGCAAGAACTAGAGTAACTACATAGCCAGAGCATCTTTGCATATGCCGTGCAGCCGGTGGCATCAGATTACACACTTCGCACTCCTGATGTCGAATTGGCACTGCTGGCTTGTTGGCACTCTGATGTACTCTGAGCTGCCCTCTGCCCGCGGCATTCGCGAATGTCCAATGCATTCCAGGTTTGCACCGAAGCGCCACAGCAAAAGGCCGAGGAAACCGAGTACGAGGGCAAATGAGGACGTGCAACCAGTGCAATGTGCTGACCTTCCACAGGTTGCCAACTGCTGCGTGCCCGACGGTCTTGGGAAGATGCAAGCTTTCCGTCTCACGAACTTCAACTTGTAGTCAATTTGGTGATATCGAGCCAGAAGCATATGGACAAGGTCTTCTTCAAGATCGATTTCGTGGCTCGGTTCAATTATGCTCAAGTTCAGTTGGAGTGGCCCATTGCAAGTAGGCGCAGTGTGGCGCAGTAGAAGCAGAATCTGTCCGAGCAAGCCTGACATCTGCTCCACAGGCTTGGTCGAGCCTCGCGGCGTCGAGGCAAATATGCGGCGGGACCGGCAGGGCCGGCAGGGATGTGAACGATGCAGCTCCGCCCCAGAGCCGAAGGACCAAGGAAGACCATGGAAGAACGCTTCGACGACATAAAAGCACAGTTCAGTGGGCCCGCGAGATCTGGCAGTGCTAGGCTCATGCAGATGCGTGCAGCACATGTAACTCAGCTTGGGGCCTTCAGTGGTGCTGAAGCAGGGATGGTCAGCAATGCAGCAGTCACCTTAGCCCACCAGGCAGAGTAGGTGGTACAGTGCATGCTTTCTCGGAGATTCTTTTGGCGATGGAAAGCACAGTGCCAACATTCCTGGACTCTCCGTGCAACCGATAAGCTTCAGAAACACGGGCAATCGAACGCTTGGGGCGGTGCAAGAAAAAGCGTCGCTGACAATCCAGCAACCTGGAATATACTGCGCCAGCTACCGGCAACGGACTTCTTAGTCCGTGTCGGCAAGGAGATGGCTGGAGAGTTGACACCCTCTTGCCGTTTCACATAGGCGGTGATTGAGCAGGATCATGACATTGAAACTCCTGTTTCGCACTTCGACAGGCCTAGCTTTTGTCTGTATTTCATTCAAACTCACCAATCTTTGAGGATCATGGGGCTTGGTCAACCACACCGTTGCCAAAGCAAGCTCGACATCGCTAACGTATGATTCTTCAGAAGGGTTCGCGCTCTTCATGTCGCAACAGATCAAGGCTTCTAGAGATTGCGTCGAAAAGAGCCCCCCTTGAAGAAGAGAGGGGGGGAGGGGGGGGGGGCTGGCTCATGTTCCCGCAGGCCGCAGTGGCTCGCACTATCGCTTCTGCAACAACGGCATTGAGGCGTCAAGCTCAGAGAATGGCTCTCCAAACTGTAGATCGGGTTCTCGGCTCCTGATTGTCCTGTCAGTTCGTACACAAAGTGGGGTGCGAACTGCACTATCGACACACTTCCGGGCGAAGCATGGTGCACCCGTGCCCAATAGATGAATAGACTACCTTTCAGGAAGACCCCACTTGAATTGCCAACGTCCTCTGATAAGAAGTCAGAGCCGCTGCCCTCTTCCTCAATGTCCTGGCAGGCCCCCCGGCGAGCTGAGAGCATGTCCGCCGGAGCATTTACATGTGCTGCCCCTGGACAAGCTTGGACAGGTGACTGCAGAGTATGGCAGTCGCAAACGAACAGAAAGGAGGTGTAATTTGTGTACGGTCAAGTTCGAGCCGATGCTGCTAGCATCGTTTCTTTCAGTACGAAAGGGAACCCTGAACAAGCTGTTGGCAATTTGGTTGAAAAACAAGCCACACCCGATCTTGCGCAACATTGACATGGCTCTCAGCAGAGGGCGCCACGGCGCCTCAACTCTGAGGCTGGCCAAAACAGCAGTTTTCTTCACTGAAGCCATCAGCTCGTACGCTGCATGGCCAAACTCTGGAACTGGTGCGTGCAACAGCGCTTGCCGTCGCATTACACGGTATGCAAAGAAGAAACGGAAGAATACAAACTTTGCAAAGTCATGCAAGCACCCGGGTAGAGGATGCAGCTAAGCATGCAGGATCAGGCCTGATATTGGTACATGGCTGTCCACAAAAGCCTTGCAGCTCCATGCAGATCATCATAAGGTATTGCAAGACTTGCATAGAGTTGGAGCTAAAAGAGCGGACTTGGGCTGCAGCTGGTCGCGGAGAAGCGCGCAAATTTAGGCTCGAGCCGCAAAGGAGCGAGTACAAATACAGCCATGTCAGCTGCACTCAGGAACACAGCGGGCAAGCGAGCCGTTCGCACACAGCACAGTCCTACCCAACTGCATAAATAAACAGGAAACAGTACACTGCACGATAGACGGTACAGTGTGCGTATGTGTGCTTGCAAGTTTGGCTCGCAGACTGATTTCTCACAAGTGGGGCAAAAGTGTTGATCTCTCCCCGACGACGTGGGGCAAGTAAGGTAAAAACACTCCGTTGAGCCAGCCGGGTCTTGCAATGCACTCCTTGTCTTACGCCGCATCTTTTGAAACGGCTTCGGTAACACTTTCGCCCCGCTCTTCAGCCAAACGTGCAACGCAACCTCCTCCCATCTCCTACATCTCCTCCACTCGCAGAAGTGATGAAATTTTGTGCAGCTCCGGTCTCTATGATGTGCGCAAAAGGACATCGCGGCAATACAACTGATTCGCACCTCTAGACGAGCGTCTGCGGCATCGTCTCCCACGGCCTTGGCACCTGATCTTCTTGCCACCGAAGGCACGGCTCTTGTAACAAATGGCAAATCGTCGTGCAAACTTGAACACGCGAGGCGCTGCTGCAGCTCATCCAGTGCTGACACGTGCTAATTAAAACATTCCCAAGTCCCGCTTTTCGCAATCTCAGCGGTCTGCCGGCCGATGTTGCCGGGACAACACAAAGCAGAGGATCCAAAGCAGTACACACAAAGCGTTTCGGCTCGCTCCAGCACGCTTCTATAACGTGCCAGGCAGTGCGCTGCGCAGGATGAAAATGGAAGGCTGAGCACAGCCGAAAAACTAACGAACCCAAGGGCTTGCAAAGCCCAACGGAGACAGCCTTGGATGCCGGTGCATGGCATGAAATTTGGCCTTAAGAGTAGCCTAATAATAAAAAAAGGTGCCCTTCTTGGTTAAAAGGGCGTTATAGGGGAACCTGAACCCAACAAAGCGGAATAAGGGCTTACTCTGATTCCTAGAAATTGAAAGGCAACCTTCCTGTGATATTGTCGTGCGAACCAAGCATCAGTCGCGCAGCTGTCCTGCCGTAATAGGTTTGTATCGGGCTTGTATTCGTTCGCACCTAATACTGTGGCACGCATGTGGTTGGGCAAGTAAAGCCGCTTCAATTTTCGGTGTGCCAGATCGTGTTGTCTTGTCGATGGGTTTTGATCTTTACTGCTTCATTTGTTCAGCGGCGTCCTGTTGACCGACCGTGCGACTTGAACTTGAAGCTCCTTTGCACGTGCAAACTGCTCCACAAACTTGCTGCGAGTGGATTTCTGGATATCTCTGGCTAACATCTTTCACACGCCCACCACACACTCGCACACACACACACACACACACACTTGACACCATTATGTCTGCAGGTCTCAAATCATCTGAAGAATTTAATTCATAACTATTGGTCAAGCTCACGTCCACCTTATTGTTGTGAATAACGGATGGCCTTGCGACGTCATCATGCACTGCGCGACGTCAGAAACAGATGTCCACGTCGATGTTCATGGGTTTGAAGCTTTTTGCCACGTCAAATGCACGTACACGAAAATTGGTCAAGTTCTGCTTCCCATGAGATTAGGTAGCTTCGCTGGACGTGGTCCTTGATCTCATGCAACGTGAACGCTTTTGACACTCCCCTGCGGTCTACAAATCTTGATCGCTCAGTTCGGCAGATTTCAAGAGCAAGGACTCGAACCGACAGAATAGTAGCAGCTGAACCTGTAGAACGAGACGAGTATTCAACAACTGACAATAATACAGAATGTTATGTCATGATGATGTGGGAAAACTCGTTCTGGAAACAAATGATGCCGTGATAAGCTGATGAGGACAAAACATCCAAAACACCAAAACGGAAAAATTCACATGCCCTTGCTGAAACACTGCAAGTCTCGTACCGATGGCATATGGATGCATATGGACTCGTGTCTGCGCTAATGTATTTTGCTCTCAGTCCCTGTTCCTCGTTTTCAGCTGTGTTTCTTTCGTGGTGATGAAAGAAATATCTTTCTGGAGACGAGTGCATGCCGTGAGAGGGTGATGATGAAGAAAACACTCCGAGGCATCAAGGAACAAGGGCATGGACCGGTGGCAGTGTTTGTCCTAAATCAAGATGTCCAGGTGAGTTAAACGTCACCCCTCGCTGTGTTTCGACAGGAACCTGATTTGGGAAACCAAAGGAAAAGGCGTCTCCAAGGCGGGCCAACATGGACATGTTCAGAAGCCCGGCAGACTTCAACAGCAGGGGCTCGAACCGACAAACGTAGCAGCTCAGCCTGTGCAAAGAATCGAGTCTTCAACCCTTATCAATATACTGCACATTATTTCTTTCATAATGATGAGGGAGAGTTCTTTCCGGAGACAATTGAAGGCCGTGAAAGGTGATGAAGAAAAGCACCCAAGGCATCAATGAGGAAGAATGCACATGCCTTTGCTGAAGCAGTCTGAGGTTCATGCTGATGGCACACGGACCAGTGATGACCAGTGTCCGTGCTTGTGAAACGGCCTCCCCGTCCCTGATATCAGCTGCCTCTTTCATGGTGATGAGACAAATTTCCTTGCAACGGACAAGTGAATGCCGTGATGGGGTGATGAAGAAAAGCGTCCGAAGCATCAACGAAGGAGACAAAACATGAACATACATGAACTAAAATGGGATGGAAAGACAATTATATACATAAGCATAGCTTTTAGTATAACTAAAAGCTATGCTTATGTATATAATTGTCTTTTCCATCCCTCTAGCTGTCTCTTGGATGGTAATGAGGGCGAGATCTTTCTAAAGGAGGGTGCATGCCTCGAAGGGGTGAGGAAGAAAACTGTCGGAGGTATCAGCGAGGGAGAAAAGGCGCTTGTCCTCAATCAGAATGTCCAAGGTGAGCGAATCAGCCCACAAAAAGTTCGGCACTGTGGGCCTGCATTATACTTACTGCCGCGATGCGACCCAGGTGCGGTATGTCGTTGGGTTTTCGGCCCGTTCTAGGGGGGCTGGGCCTCATCAGTGGAGACCCCCTCAAGAACTTTGAGGTTTGTTCCAGAACCCGTCCCGAGATCACTCAGCGACTCAGCGACTACATTTACAAGCAGGGCGCACACGCGAAGCCACGAGCCAAACACTTGCAGAGTGGTTTTTTGTACGCATCGTTGCGCACGCACGCCGCCAATGATGTGCTTCTTCCGGATGCAATGTAATCCTGCGCTTGAGCGCGCGATCTGCAGGAAAACCTTTTCAACATTTTTTGGATGAAGAACATGCACAAAGCGTTTGCTTGCTGCGCTTGCGATCTTGTGGGAGAAAACACGCTTCGTGAATGTTCTGTTCACAGACCACGAAAGCTTCAAAGCTTTGCTCACGCGCATCAAGACTGGTGGTTTTTCTTGGTGCCCCTGGCGCCTACCCCCGACCTCGGCCGGCCCGGGTGCTGGGCGGCCAGGATACGCCTTGGCACGTCAGACTTCTCAAGACCAGCGGCCCAGGAGCTGATAGCGGTGGCACACGGGGCGAACATGAAGGTGAGCCGAAAAGGACCTGCCGGAAGAAGAGGATAACTTCGGCCTTCCCATGTGCCCCCCTCGTCGCGTCTCGCACCCAGAGGCCTGCCACCTGGAGCTGGTCGATGTGCCGGGCTGCCGCGTGCACCCGGCAGAGAGACCGGCGCATGGTCATCTCCACCTCCCCACCTCTCGCCGCTTTGTGGACGGCTTGAGCGTGACCGTCCCCTCGCAGAGCATGAACCAGGCCGCCAGGAGGAGTGCGTCAGCCGCCTGGGCATGATCCACGGGGACCATGGCGCCGCGTGGTCCTGGGCGATGGAGGAGCCTGACCGGGAATGGCGCCTTAAGCTTGGAACCCATGTACCGCCGCATGGCCTTGCGAAGTGGCGGTGGGCGCCGTTTAAGTGCTCCTGCAGCAGGTGACCGCCGCGTTAAAATAGTTTTGCGCGGACCTGTCCCCCCCGCGCCGGAGTGACGCCGCGGCCCTGATGTTTTCCGCCATCAATCTCCGGACACGGCTGCTAACACGCCTCCGTCCTGTTCTTGTCCACCTCTCTGACCCCCGCCTCGGCAGCCTGGCGACCGACGCCATGGAACTCGCCGGCCCCCAATCAACCAACGCCGCTGGCGAAGCCCGTTGGCGCCGAGAGATCCAGTGCCATCTCCCATGCTCGAGCCCTGCGAAAAATAGGTAGGAGAAAAAGAAAAGGAGAAGAGAGGAGAGTGCGCCGACTGACATGTCACTCCGGGCCGTTTTCTCTCGCCGATAACGGCAGTGCAGTGTAAACTTCGGTGAAACCTGCCGGCACCTTACCACGCCGAGCGGGCTGAACCAAGGTTTGACCTCAGCTGGCCACGACGCCGGGAGAGGCTCGAGGGCGTCCCGACGCCGACGCCGAGAAATCAAATAATCCACAAAGACCATTGCCGGCAGCAACGACGCCAACCGCGTAGAAGATGCCGCCGGGACCATGCAGGCTGCCGGCCGCTCAATATAGCGACGGTCTCTTGTGTTGTGCATCCGCTGGCAACGATCACACAAGTGACCCTCGTGACCTCGTTGGCGGCGCCGCCCCGCCGAACGATGACCGGGCGCAAGCGCAGGGTCGGCGGCGCCGTGGGCGATGGGGATGACGGACTCCGCCTGGTGCTCAAGTTCCTCCAGCGCCTCCAGGTTCCCCACGATCGCCGGGAAAACAGGGTACCTGGATTGTGTATCTCCTCAATATGCCGGTGCTCCGGGGAGTTGAGCTCCCGCCGAACACGTCCATCACCCGCCGGAACGCCTGCCGGTGGACGCGCGTCTTGACTGGCTGGGGGCTCCGGGGACGGGTCCGACATCGCCGCGGTGTCTGCGGCCGCCGCCCTCCTGCTGCCCTGTGGTGATCTCCGGGGGAGGCGGCGCCTGGTATGGGATGGGCGATCGACCATGTCGTGCCGGCCCCCGAGAGCTGCGCCACAACGGCGTTGCGCTCCAGCGTGGTCCAGCGCCGCCAGGTTCGCTTCATCCGCCAGGCACGCCGGCTCTGCCGCGGCCTCATCCCAAGACACATTCGAGGATGCCGAGGACATGGCGTCGCCGGAGTCCTGAAAAAGGCCGGGCGACATCGAACCGAAAACAGCTTCGGTATGGACGTTCGCCGGCGTGTCCCTGCACACACTAGTGTGTTACACCACAAACACAATCACACGCACACACCACACACCGACTGGTTCATCTTTTCAACCTCGCAGAGACCAAGAAAGTGCCAAGATGCATCGTCACGCACAGGGATCACGGTATGCTCTCGCACGCACCTTGCGAGGGAGGCGGCAACCATGAACCAAACATTGCTGACTCGTTGCAGAGCTGCAACACGGTTAGAGAACAAATCAGATTAATCACCGCAGCAGCAACAAGAACAACAACCACTACAAAGCGCAACCACAACCACAGCTAAAACAACAGCGGCGGCAGCAGCAGCAGCAGCACCACCACCACCACCACCACCACCACCACCACCACCGCATCCACCAGCACCAGCACCGCCCCCCAGCACCAGCGCCAGCAGGACGGCGATTACGACCGCGACGACGACAACCCTGCTACTACTACTGCTTTTGCCATGGATGAATGTCAGTAAAACTACAGATTGCAACGTCAAGGAGTCACTTTGAATGATGCGTGCCCTGCACAACATGCTGTGGCCGGCACTTGCCCAGAATGCTTCGTCTGGCCAATGAGTTCGCTGCCTGGCCACATTGGATGCAACCATGTCTATCGATTCTGTGACTCGGGTGGCTGTCCGTGTCGTGTGCCTCAAGGCCTGTCACAAGGGCTCGCTCCTGACAAAGTCCTTTGGCACCATGCTCCCGGCTGCCAAGACGAACCCAATCACCTGCGGAGAACTAAGAAGAGCCCGCTGCTGGGGTGAACAGAGATGCCCTGCCTGCACACACCAGATTTCTTAGCGGGGTCTCCGTGGTTGGCCGCGACTTGAAAGAGCCGGGAGAGAACCAACTCACACCTCCAGGAAAGCGCATGGCGTGACTGTCCACGACTTTGGCACTGCGGAATTCTGGCACTGCGCTAGGCAGTAGCTCGTCTGTCAGCAGCCGGATGATCTCCTCATCAGACAGCGCAACGAGGGCACCGGCATTGTAGAAGTCACAGGCCACCACGGAGCCTTGGGGCTCATCCTCTCCCCACAGTGCCTGCTGGTCTGCCTGCAACTGATCCAGCATGAAGAAAGTTCCACCGGCGCCACGAAGAGCACTAAACTTCGCGAAGACGTTTGCGGGTGCCTGAACATTCACAACGACACATGCCAGCAATCACTAATGTTGAATATCCTTCTAGAAGAACCTTTGTGCATGTAGGGCCTGTGTGGCGACCTTGCGGTCAAACCAAATACGCACGGACATGACATCAATTCCCTGCAAGGATCCTGCAGATGTCAGGTTAGGGCATAGCTTGGCGACCTCGGGGCTTCCACGCAGCACAGCCCGGAGACCACCAGCGCCCAGTGCCAGCACCACTGCATCTAAATCCTCCATCTGCACACTTCCTCCACTTCCTGCGCTTCTGGACCGATACCGAAGGCCAGTCACTTCCCCATCCGCCACCTCGAGGCCCTCGACAAAACAGCCACCCTTCACGCTCAGGCCGTGCTGGTTTACCAAGTGGTTGATGACCGGACACATCAAGGTCTCGCTGACCGTGCCCTTCTTGAGCCAGCGAACATCGAAGGAAGTTTGATGGGCCAAGGCATAGAAGTAGAGCAACTCCATGGTGACAGCCGCAGATAGTTCCTCTGGGGGTTTGAAGAGGCCGACAAGCAATGTAGGCTTCAAGAAATCGTCGACAAGCCGTCGGCTCAGTCCAGCTCTTAGAAAAAGTTCATGTGCTGTCATACGATCATAGGCTTCGAAGGTCTTTTCATCACGGGTGAAATCGACCATGGCCAAAAGCAAGCCGGTGATGGAGAGCCGGTCTGCTAGTGGTAAGCGTCGAAACCTGGAGAAACTTGCAATGACTTGGCCCAAGGGGCTGGGCAGCTCTGGTGCGCCCGCAAACACCGGAGCTGTCGCTTCCAGCCCATCAGGGCTGTAGAAGGCAGACTCTGTGAAGTCTGTAAAGAGTTCACTCTCGTCCAAGCCGATTTCGGCCAGCGTGGCGTTCATATTGGGATAATCCCTCCAGAATCCACGAGTACCAGCCTCAAAGGGCTTGCCTGAAGGCGTTTGCATGCCGCTTCCAGGCTGCGGGCTGCCATCCAGCAAAGTCACTTCGCAGCCATTCTCGCACAAGGCCTTTGCAGCACCAAGCCCCCCCCAACCAGCCCCAACAACAGCGACACGTGGCCGGGACCGGCCCTTTTCGCCTTCTGCCACCGAGCTTGCCTGGGCCTGCAGAGCGTGTCGACTTTGTTGCCTCGACCTGGACCTGTGTGCCAGCGCCATGCCGGAGCAAGCCAGTGAAACACAAAGAAAGGTCTTGCCATCCTTCCCATGAGCCGAAGGAAGCATTGCTCGTTGCATGCGTGCAGCGGCGTTTGGTGTCGACCGCGTCGGTGCCACACTGCGTGCCAAAGGCATCGTGTCCGGGTGTATTTCCATTGCCGATGCCAGCAACATATTGAAGCAAGCGGGTGAGACTGAGCGCTGATCTGTAATCCTGTATGGCAGCGGGGGAGAAATGTTGACGGAAAGCCAACGAAACAACCGCGATCACTCACTTGCAGTGTCAGCAATCCAAACCTATTCTCCTGACAAATGCTTAGCTGCTAAGCCCTGAACACAGGAACCTGAGCTGGCCGGCAAGGCGGGCCATTTGTTGTGGGTGCCACGCGCGTACGGGTTGATATGTGGCCGGCACTCTCAGCAGACCGAACCGGGCTTCGACTGAGTTGGCAGCACATAGACGTGATGCGCTGCATGTTACACCTTCACAAAGGTTAATCACAGCTCGCGACACTGTCGCACGTGAAGGGAGTGCTTCTAGGATGCAGGCTGGTGGCGTGCTCATGGTCTGTGACCAACATGCCCATCATTCGCAAGCAACATCTAAGCAGCGACTCAGTGAAGCCGTTTCCATAGACTGATGTGCCAATAATACACAAACATGTAAGGTTTTCGCTGAGATTCATCATGTCACATGTCAGAGGGCGCCGTGAAGCTGCCCACAAGAATCATGACATTCGACATGCATCATCTAGCTTCGTCGCTCTACACCGAGTGCTCGCTCAACTGAGCAGCCTTTCTTGCTACAAAATGCTGAAGTTAGTTCCGAAGTCGATTGATTGCGCATCGTTGCAATGTGGAACCAGCCTGTCCGCAGCCAGTCGGAAGCCGGAGCACACCGTGGGACTGCAGCTGGTCGTCCGTTGGTGAAACAGTGAAACTCGATTGGCCTATCCACACACCCGCCTAGGTCCTCGGCCTGCCGTGAGGACGGTACTCTTGCTTGGCTGAGCGTGTTGAAGGTCCATGCCCCACTTAAACCGAGGCTACTGTATCATTTTACTTACTATACAATACAGATCAGAATAGTCGCAGGAGTCCCCTGGAACTTACACCTGTTTCAGCTGCACTGTACATGTTTAGCCCTGGCCAGCGCGCTGTAGTGTCATGCAGCAGAAATGATTGAGGCGGGGCACCACCTTACTCTCCCAAGTGCACGGCCTTCCAAAACAATCTAGATGCAATAAACTACTTTAACTTGTTCAGCTCTCTGCTTGTCATGGTTCTGCGCATAATCTTCCGGCGTCCGCAGACAACACTTCTCGGTGTTGAGAAAATACTAATGGGCCTTGCATCGCCATACTGTAAGAGATGGTCACGGGCAAGATGATGCAGCAAGCGTGAGAAAGCAGAAACCGTGCGTTGGCACACTTTTTGTGCTGCTTGTTGGTTCCAATGCTCAGCGTCCTCTGGCTGCAGCAGCTCGCGCAGCACCCACGCAGAGAGCCTTCCGACGCTTCATGGCAAGCCACCTGCGGACGCAACAGCGATGCGGTTCACAGGCGTCTCATGAGGAACATGTACTGTCCTTGTGACTGATCACATGCATGCGCTCTCACTCGTGCCTTTTCGCTCCTGCCACGGGTTACGCGAAACTGCACGACCGAGCAACCTTAAACCTCATCACAACGCGGTGAAGCGATGACATCGCAAAGAAAGGTCCGATTCTCGCAACTTCATGTGGCCTGTACTATGTGTGGTAGCTCCTGCTGAAATCAGCATGCTCATGTAAGAACAGAAGCGACAAGTTCTGTTAGGTGCCTCTGGTACAGCTGCCATGTCTTGTATGTAGTGAACCATGCCAGCCTCGGTTAGATGAGCGAGACCAACCTACGATGTGTAGTGCCAACTGTGCGAGCACATGTATTCAACACTTATGCAACCCATGCCTGTGAGCGTGTCCACTTCAGATCCGGGCTTGCGGCCCCGCGAAGATCGTAGCCAGACCGACGACCAAGAGCTCCGCGTGCTCTGCAGCCTCGGCCTTGAAATCTCTTGATTCAGCCTGCCTCGAAAGACACCTCCAATACACTTCTGTCGTGCACCTCTTCTTCCGCCGTATCTGCTGCGTCTCTTGCGGATTCCACCTCAATCATGCGGCCAGAAATTTGGTGTTGGCCAATGGCATGCTTTTGCTTTTCGACTTTACTTGATAAATTTAGCTCCCCAAGCTTGAGACCTGCTTTTCTTGGAGGCGGAGCTTCGGGTCCCACAGTACGCGCATCACTATCAGGTCATGGATTCTGGGAAACCGGCAGGGCCGGTTTGCGGTGAAACACAACGATGAGTCTACTGTGCCATTACAATTTTCAGGGTTGCTGGTTCTCCCAAATGCAGATCTTGTTGCAATAGTGGCACCTGACTTCGAGTCATCGAAGAATGACGGAAAAGAGGCCGGCAAGCAAATTAGACATAATGAGATGGCGTGGCAGCGGCAAGCGGCAGGGTGCGAAGCTTCATAATTATCTGAAAAGTGCTGGAGATTCGAACGGAGTATAATACAGAGTGCGGTCGGAACGGAGCGGAGTTCAAAACGCTTCCAACAGCGAAGCCCGTGGCATAGCTTGGAGGCGGAGGTCTCTGCTTTCGATGAGGAGGCCGCGGGCCCCGGGGACCACTGCTCACTCAAGCTGAGATCACGGGCCCAGGGAAAACTGATTGAAGCTTTTGTTGCACAAGCCAGGACAGCCCGGAAGTATACATGCATCCACCGACTGAAGGGACAAGGGTTGGATTCACCGCGAAACTTACGGACAACTCCCAAGTTGTTGGCCTTGAGAGCTGAGCAGAGTTCTGTTGCGACCAGTACGTTCGACCTCGAACTCAAAAGTTTCAGTCGGTTGGCAATCTTCAGAGTTCCAAGAAGTGGAATCACGAGGAAAGATAGGCGGACGTGCCTGCTGCAATCCCAAATCTACCTTTTCACACCCCAGTCTTGGGAAAACAATCCTATACCGTGCATATTAAAGAGCTCGAGTATGAGCGATCAAGCTAAATGGATCAGCAGCTTTGAGGATTGCTGAGCACGGTTTCGATTCCAGACGAGAAGACATGTTCATTTATGTCTTCTAGCCCTGCCTACAAGAACGTTTCCAGGTACGACTGTGGCAGATTGCCATGCCGCAGAATATCGTTTTGCAGTTTGACAGTTTCCGTGGTTCTGCTGCTAGCCGATGGGGGGGGGGGGCTCAAGGTGCAAAGCTGCCTGTAGAAACGAGATACAGCCGCTCCACCGTACCGCGCACAAGCCATTAGCTCTGCAGGAGATCTGCCAACAGGACATTCATTGTTGAAAGTTAAGCATATCGTTAAGCATGCCGTCGTTCCCCTTGCTAATGGATAGCCGAACATAGCCGATCCAGAACAACAAGCAAACAAATTAGCTGTGGATTGGAGGCAACGACGGCTTCACTGCAAGTGGCTACTGACTGTGCTGAGTGGATTGCATTCGGACAGCAGAAGAATTTAAAGAGGGCATAGTGGCCCGATCGGCAGCTGGTATATGGCTCCAGCGGCCCGTCAGGATTGGGGTGTGAGCATGTATAATGTGTGCATCTCCCCGGCATCCCCCGCCAGAGTACATGTGAAAAGCGTACTAATGGGAGTGTTGATTGAACTGTTCGCCAACGTGATCAAAATTGGCAAACTCTCTGAGTAGAAAAACATCACACTCACTTGGCACACACTGCAAATCAATTTTCTGCAACCTCGGCGCTCGCTTCACTATCAGGGAGTTTGTATTCCCCCGTTCGCAGCGATCTTGTCATCTTCGGCGTGTTCGCTGTCGTCGGAGTCGGCGTCTAATGGACGGTAATTAGTTAATCTCCCTCCCCTTCTGCTCCGGCAGGTGTCGTATATCTTTTCCACCCACTGCGGGTCTTCCTCAACCTTGTCGATCAATTTGCCTGGGTTGAAACCATGAGCTCGGAAATAGCAAAGCTAACGAAACGCTACCACTGCTTCTCAGCCGTTCATGTTCGCGTTGGAGCTGGTGCTCCTCCATTTGTGGTATCTCTCAAGCCCCTCATCATCGTCCCCCTTCGTCGTGAGCCCTGATGGGCCGACTCCCCCACATCACTTTGACAATTGGACTGTTTAAGTTTCAGGGGTGCGCAGTTATGTCAGCGCGACACTCTACTGCAGCTACGGGTGGACCGTAGTTGAAGACAATATTCGCACCATGCCTGCAATTAGCTACAACTGGTTGCGGTCCCCCGGCTGTTTGCAGGAAGGCAGCAGTTGTGTTGGCCGCCTCGTGACCAGCTTGTTTTCATTTTCTAATGTTCAAGACATCTGAAAAGGCTACCGAAAACTTGGACTTGCAAGTTCAACTGCCCAGTGCTGTTTGTTCCTTCACTTCACTTCGCAAGGGACAGGCTCCAGGAGCCCGCGCCGAGGCGCCCCCTTTCCCCCAGTGTTTGGTGGGAGGGGCCTTGGGGCTGAAGTGCACGGGGCTTTTCCCTCAACGGTCGGTTCAGCTGGTAGAGTCTGCCTGTCGCTATTTGTTCCTCTCTCTCTCTCTTTCTTTCTTTCTGCTGGCCCGCCCAACCACCCCCTGTATTATGGAGTGGCTGGTTTCTGGGGTAATCCTGATTACGGCACTGTACTACCCAGTATGTTCCGGGCTCGCAAGCAAAAAAGCCCCCCCGAACACTAAACATCAACACAACTCCCGCCTCATCCCCGCGCCCCTGCGGCTATCAGTCCTTAGCCTAGTGTAGGTTCGGGAGGGCGTGAAAAAGCCGGTTGAATTCCCCCTCCTGCTGTGGTGCAGTCGGGGGTGTCGAATTGTTGTAACAGGGCGGATCAGACATCGTCAGAGAGACGGGTTTGCAGCGAATTTGCACAAGGGCGGAAGGAGGCTGCCAAGTCGTGGCAGCTTGGTTCCAAAGGTTCTCAGGATGAGGTATGGTACAGCAATACGTGCTATCGTGCAGTCCCCCGGCAAGGCTCATGAAGAAATCCCCTTTGGGTACACTAAAAGTTCGGCCTCTACCTGCAGTCGTGAAGGGGAGTGGGGTCACTCAACAACGCCCCAAACCAACGCACCCAAACAAGAAAACCGAAAAGCTCTCTCCCATCCCCCCCCCGCTTCGGCCGTCGCTTGGAAAACTTTTTGCCGCGCTCACTCTGTCTCAGTGCATCACCTTCGTGTTGGATCCCCTCTGCGGTGTGCCATGTGTTGTTGAACTTCCTGTACCTGCCAGCTCAAGTTCGGGATCAGGGTGACGGCTGGTCTCCCCCCTGTCCTTTGTGGTTCTCCCGCTTGTGTAGGTGGCCGCACTCGCTCCCCCACTGGTTCTTTGTGTCGCCTCGGTCGTGGTTCCCCTTCAAGTTCTGCTGGCTTTCTGCGGTCTCCTTCTTGCTCCGGCTGAGTGTCTAGAGGTCGTCTGGCCGGTGGCTCCCCCGCAGGCTCGGAGGGGCGCCTTTGGTTCGCCTCTCGGTCCGACGGTTTTCCCTCAGCTCCCCACGGCCATTGCACGTCACCACCTTGGTCTGGTTCGTCATCTTGTCGGCTGTCCTCGTCAGTGCTCCCCCAGTCGGGTGGCGTTTCCTCGGTCCTTGTCTCCGTCACGGGGGCGGGAGCGCTGCGCTCCTCAGTCCCCCGCCTTGTCGCTGGCTGGGCGCGGCTTGTCTGAGCTCCCCCCTTTTTCCCACGCTGTGCTTGTTTCTTCCTCTTCTTCACCTTGTGGGCATCTTTCAGGAGTCTCGGGATACGGTGAGGGAAACGCATTATGTAGGCACGCGTTTCGTTGGCGATGCGGGGCAAGAACTGGTCCGTGATCTTCACCAACTTGTCTGCTGCTGCTCCTAGGGCTTGGCGGTTGCGAAGCCTCCCCCTATAGCTAGCGTAAGCCTCCTGGTCGTCTTCCCCCAACGGCTCCCCCTTCTCATCGTAGAGCTCGCCGGTCTCGTCATTGTGTTGCACGTTGCGCCCGATCCACGCATCGAGCGGGCTTGGGTGGAAAAACAGGTGGAGTCCCCCACGTGTCTCATGTTGCACCATAAAGTCAAGGCTCGGTGCACGCCTGGAAGAGGAACTGGCTTCTCCCCCACCTTCGTCCTGTTGTGCCGTTCGTGGTCTCCCCTTTGGTTTGGGGCTTGCCGCTGACACATTGGCCATGCTTGTCACCCCGTGCAACCGACACGCCGGATCACTTCGCACATGCACCTTTCTCATGCCGGGCTTGCAGATCCCCCCGGCTTTCCTGCACAATCGGCAGTGCATCTTCCCAGGAAGTTTGCTTTGAGTTCCTCAACGTCGTAGTATGCCCGTCCCCCCCTACTGACGGGCCACCTCCCGAAGGAGGGCCGTGGTCAGGGGGTCCGGTGAGCGAAGAACCCTGGGGCCTCTTAAGCAAAATGGGCAGCGGCGTGTGACTCAAGCGCCGCAGGGAAAGGCAACACGGCTCTCCTGAGGTATACAGCCTCAGGCCAACCGCGTGCCTCCCCCCCCGTACCAAGGAGCGTTTACTCCTCCCTCCCTCCCTCTCTCTCTCTCTCTCTCTTTCTTTCTGCTGGGCTTAGGGGTCCCGCAAGACCCTCAGGCCTTAGGCCCGCCCAACCCTCACACTGTTTTAGTGAGTGTTGGCATTGGGGTCTTTCCAGATTAAGGCAGGGAGCTACAAAATATGCTCCAGGTTTTCATGCGGCGATCCCCACCTAGAACTCTAAAACCCCCCGCATCCCGGTCTCATCTCCGGGCCCCTATTGCTAACCAATGGCCGTGCCTAGGTCCTTCTAAGCAGGTTTCGCTGCACTGTGTTTGGAGCTGCCGCAGTAAATAAAAGGAAAAGGCCGGTCGAAATTCTCCCCCTTGTCAGGTGTTCAAGGAAACAACACCCCTACAAAAAAGACGCACTAGTCCCGAAAGCCACATTACTCGACAAAGGGAACTTGCTGAATTAAAATCCCCCCTGCAGCGGAGCAGGCGGGCCGAATTAGCGGCAGTAGGGCGGAAACGTCATCGTCTTTCGACGGAGTGCAGTGAATTGTGTCAGGCGGACAGAAAGCCGTCGTGTAGCGACGGGTGGTGTAAGAAATCGCCAAGTCATGGCAGAGTACTGCAAAAGTTGACGAGTATGTTACATAGGGCGTGCTATCGTGCAATCCCCCGGCAGGGTTTCAAAAGGTGGCGGCTTAATCGCAGCAGGGCACTTTAGGGAAGAGGAGGGCCGGGGACAAAACACAACCGCGAAACAAGCAGCCCAAAACAAACCGAAACACAACACCCCACAGCATCAGTGTCCCTCCTTTCCCCTCTGTTAGCTGCTACTGGGCACAGTCACGCAGGTCCCCCTCTTTTGGAGAACGCAGGCTGCGTCACTCGTTCAAAAAGGAAATGGAAAAATCCCCTTCGCTCATTGCTTGTAGTTCACGGTGCGCCTCTCATATGTGCCTGGACCCGCCGTATCGCGTCCCACATCGGACTCTCTCTCTCTCTCTCTCTCTCTCTCTCTCTCTCTCTCTCTCTCTCTCTCTCTCTCTCTCTCTCTCTCTCTCTCTCTCTCTCTCTCTCGCTACTAACTAGTACATACGTTATATATATATATATATATATATATATATATAATACACAAGCATTTCTTTCTCACATGGATCGAACGCCGAAAGGGAAGCCATGAAGCCCTGAGGCTGTGCACTGCTTTGCACTTTCAATTGCTGTTTCCATAGGCTTTCGCGTGCGCTTTCGGCTCTTTGCTTCTTGCTTACCCGTTGCAGTTCTGCGCGACTTCGACTTGAGCTGAGCCTTGCAGCTCAAACTCTGTAAACAGTAGCATGTCAGTTTTGCCGGTCATACCAGGTACAGCGCAGCGTGAAGCGCCAGAAACAACCGGGGGCTTTGCGGTGGCAGGTAGTCTTGATGTGCTGCATGCACGGCCAAGCCCAACTGTTCTCTGTGTTCAGATTGTCACCACAGATCCGGAGTTCAGAGATGTCGGTGTTCTTGTGCTCACGCACAGCAATATCGTAGACTTGCAATATGCTCATGCATCGTCATCTAGAGCCATCTGGAGTCGTGCGGAATGAGGTAGATAAACTATGCAGCCATGTGGGGACATCTGCAATTTGCAGGCAAACCCTGCAGCTATGCATAGACTGTGACTTGTACCGACTGCAATACCTAGACGCACAAAGCCGCAGAGGCTGACTAATTTCTGCAGCGTTTCTTCGTCTCTCGTCTCTTGATGGAAATCAACTTCACACAAAACTTTCGCGCGGCGGTGTGCGCAGAAAGATACGCAAGGCTGCAGAAGGCGGTCGCTCCACGGAAGTGGGCAGAAGGGTATGCAAGCAACGAGTACGCAGTTTACATGAGCCGCTGCGTGGTACATGGTGCAATTTTGGTGCAATTGACTCTGCATGGCGGCCCCTTTCGTGCTTAGTCACTAAGTGAGTTCAAAACCAAAGGCCACTGTGGCCACTTCAAGCCGCCAAAAACCCAGAGCTGCCTCAGCCTGCAGCAGCTGTGCGCGATCTGAGGCAGTCGTGGCTTCTGAGAAGTTCGTCGGATGCTGTAGTTGGCCTGGAGCGATCTAGGGCATTCCTTCAGAAGTCCTGTTCATCTTGACATATCTTGACGGTCTATGGACAGATTCGTGCCTGGGTCCAGATCCGGCAGAAAAGTTGACCTTGGACGAAGAAGCAGACCGGCGCCTCGCCAGCAATCGTGGTGCATTGTTGCGGGTCCCTCCTATGCCATGCAGCTTCGAACCTGAAGGTATCTCGCTGCCAAGGAATACGCCAGCCTCTCTCAGGGCCGGCCTACATACATGTCTACATGCTACGAAGTCTACAGCATGATACAGCATGCCAAAGCTGACGCAAGACTATGCCTGGCCGCGGGAATTCCGGGCAGAGCAACTGGGCCAAGCAGCCATTTCTCCGAGGATGGGCCCACATCTCGCCTTTCAGAAGCATGCTCGACGCAAAAGCCTCCTTATTCTTCACCTGCACTGTCTTCTCCACACTCCGGGAGCCGTCACGCCTGGAGAGGTTCTGCAAGCAGGTGGGGCATGACCAGTGCCACTCGTCAGATTCGCCAGTCTGAATGCAGTTGTCAGCTGCTTCTAAACTTTCTGGCGCTGCTATACAGTTACTGCGCTGATGCCGCGGCTGTGAGCCTTGCTCGCCGAAGCAAGCATCGGCAGTTGGCGACAACATCTCAGAGCCACAGAACTGGAAGTCGAAACACGAGCTCACACTTCAACCAAGCCGGTCTTTCTTTTCTAACGTGAGGCTGCATTGAAGCAAACTCAGGTCAGTAGGTGGATGCAACCTTCAGGCGAGCTTGGACAGTGCTGTGGCAACAAGTTTCAAGTAACCTACCTGCGGGCTTTCGTGGAGCTACTCCCTGCTCAATTCATTAAACGGAATTCGTTGTGCCGAGATTTCTGCACGAGTCTGCAGTGCCGAAGCATGGCCATCAAACCAAGCAATCCACAAAACCGTAGCCACGCATGCAATCCTGTCGATTTCTAGGCTTCCAGCGGCTGCGAGCATCTTGGACACCGGCAGATCTCAGGTGAGGTAGAAAGAGAGATGGACACGTGCAAACATGATGAACAAAACGCACCAATCAAGAAGTCTGCTGTGGCAAGCACGTTCGCGTTGCGCGATTTTAGATGCGATTTGGCCGAGCTGCCAGTCTCGAGGCCAATGGATGTCCGTGGTCACCTGGTGCTTCGGATGAGTTGCTGTCCAACTGCACGTTGATGTCAACAAACCTTCAAAAGGCAGACCCTTGTGAAACGTCCGTGGTCACAACAAACCTTCGCAACAAACACCAGCCTCAAAACCCCGAATACCATCAGACAAAGAACAGTAAGGGCAACTTTGTAGGCCCTAAAACTAGAACATGGTCCGCTCAGGCTGTACAGGGGGCACATCAGGGCAAGTACTGCATCGTTTCTCATCGTGCCTCTGCTTGCCCTTCACGTCGCTGCAGATCTCAGTGACGCAGCTGGCACGGGAATACACATTCGCACTATGTCTGCCTGCTTCTTTGCGGAGATCAGGCCTGCCAAGCAATTGGCATGGAGGATGCATGCTACGAGTCGGGTGATGAAAAACCTGACGCTTGCGAATTTGCTCTAACTACCTACCTACTGTATCTTCGTCGAGAAATGCTGCGCGTAAATAGATGGTGTGCGTGCATGAACAATGATCATGTCTAATGTATGTTCTTCTTTTGCTTACTTCCGCATTTCGCCTGTGCGAAGACGACGCGTGGCTTCATTGTCGACGCAAGTCTGTCGAATGTGGATGTTTGGAAAGTCCGAGTTGCAGGCCCAGGCGTGCTCACTCCAGGCCCTGCAGGCTTCGGATGGCATCGGCAACCTGCAGTCGACGGAGCACAGCGACCAGGGCGAGTTCGAGAGGGCGTCCAGATGAGAAGTGACTCGGAACCCGCTTGTAATTTCACACAATTGTTGCGAACCGATGTGATGGGTCTTGCACCCGAGTACGGCGAAACCCTGAAAGCTTGGCACCGTAACTCCGCAACAACCCAGGAATGCTCAAACGGGTGAGTGCGGACAGAAGGCAGACATGCACCAGAGAATGCGAACTGAGGCAAAGCTAAGACCGCAGAATTTGGCTCTGGATGGCTCTAGACAAAGAACACGGGAGTGAGGCAGGGCAGGCTTTCTGTAAACTTCCGTGCGGGCAGTGGTCTTGCTGGAGTGAAGACTGCACCAGGACCGGCTACCTTTGGAACTTTTCCGAACCGTGTGTGTGTGTGTGTGTGTGTGTGAGCCTTTCTTGCCCTGCAGTATCCAGTCTCCAAGACACTCTGAAAGACTGCATACAGGCCTGTTTGCTGCCTGCCTCCTCTGAGGCCTTTAATGCCACGGCCGACCAATCCAGCTTGCCTGATTCGATTTATCTTGACTGAGGAGTCACGGAATCAGCGTCACACTTCCCTGCCACAATGCTAACGGAACCTCTTCCTGCATTCTGCGATGCCACGAACCGATCACGGAGTAGGGAAGCCAGAGGCATTGGGCAGCGTGCCTGGACAAACGTTCGGTTGTCGACTGAAATCATTGTCTGACAACTGTCAACACTGTGCACCTGCGAAGCCGCGAGATGCACAAGGGAAACATCCTGGACAGTGAATGTGCAGCTCTAACCTGCCCTTGCTATCAGCACCTGGCTTCAGCAACAGCTGCGGTCTGGCAAACCCAGTGTGTTCTATTCTCCTTAAGCAACCATGAACTGATTCAAACCTGCCTTCTTTGGAACTACACCGTGCAAGTCCTTGCTGCCCAAGTCCAGTGCAAAATGGGCCTGCGAGAGATGGTCAGACTCCAGAGATTGTGCTGTCACTTGCGACCACAGGGATACAGCGAAGAGTTCTAAACCCAAGCGCATGAAAGCTCACACAAATGGGTGACGTATATATCTTGGGCGTTACAAACAATGCCCGTTCCTACTTGGACATGGGCTCGCCCAAATGTTTGCTTGGGGACTTGCAAGACTTGTTTTCAGAAGGGATCTGTCCTAAGCGACCGGGCCTGGCATAAATTGCAATGATTTCGGCGATCGGCAAAAAGGAAAAGAACAACCTAGTGACCTATGTAATAGTACTACAGAAATCATTTCGAAGCGAAGGAGCCCGCGACTCGTTTACAACACTGCTGCAGCATGCTGCGGCCAAAGCACATCAGGGTAAGGGTGATGGTCCCTGGCAGCTACACGATGACCTGGCATCTCTACTGCTGTGCAGCTAAGAGATCCGTGGCCCAGCAGCAGTTAACTCAAGAACAGGCGCGTGCGGGGCCAAACCTGAACACATGTCGGCGACTCCGTATCCTTTGTAAATCAAGCAGTCGAAAATTGTAGAGGACCTACAGGAGGCGGCACACAGAAATCTGACAGAGCAGCATGTGTCGCTACCAGCTATTGGGGCCATTGCAAACCTGCTGTGTGCCGTGGAGCTGAGGTACTGGCATAAGGGATATGAATTTCTCCCGGTCAACCTGAATCACTGAATTGGTTGTGTGGTTATGTCGCTGTCTTGCTAGTTGTCTTGCTGTGGCCACCTGCATCCGGTTCCCTGAACCAAGTGCTGGACATCATAGCTCTCTGCCAGTGCCGATGCCTGGCACCAGTCTGCAGGAGGAGGCCGGAAGAAGTCTTACTCTTTTGCTGACTGTATCGCCAATTCCTCCCATGCTCTCTGCCGTGCTAAGGGCGAGCTGTCCCATGTTTCACGGTCCAGCTGACTTTGATTCCGTCGAGGTCATGACTCAAGGAGACATTCTGCGGCAAGTGCTGCAATGACAAGCCTATCCAACCTGGTGTCAGTGCGATGACTCTGCTAATTTGTCCTGGCTCCTGGCTTACCTTGCGTTGCATTGCAAAACAAACTGTTGCACACGCTGTCTTATGAGATGAATGCGGATACAAGCTCATGTCACGCTCCGCAGCACGAAAGCATGGGGATTGTCACCTCCGCCATCGATTCAATCGCAGCAGCAATAAGGAAATTCCCGCCAAGCTTGACCTGACGGGACTTCAGCTGCCAGCTATCTGTGGCCAAGTTTGGCTTCAACATAGGGCACAGGTGTCGCAAATGAACTCAGCAGTCGTTGCACCGTTGTCGACACACAAGGCAACTGTGAACGCGTTTCGCACACTGCCGCGAAACCTCTTGCAACCAGCAATCGACAACCCAAAGCATTGGATCTTCAGACGTGACCAGTGTCTTGCTCATGCCCCACACATTGCTGCGAACTCCCCGGTTCCACCACTGTGCTCGAGGCCACATTGGCTGCACCCGCATCCTGGAGCAAATCTTGACCAGAACTATGCACATTAATGCGTACGCCTCCTGCTGGACAGTGCACCTAAAACATTGCAAGCGGCAAGCCACATGCTCACTGCTACCTGCTTACTGTAGCCTGTTTCTAATTTCATGTTTCTGCCACAGCGTGCGTGGCTACTTGGAGGTTCAGGGGACTTAGTAGGTACAGTTATAAAGTTATAGGTACCCTAATTGGGATTACAAGTACATATAAGTGTAGTTACCTTAATTATAACCCTATTACTAAGTCCCATGAACCTCCAAGTAGCAGACATGCAGACATCGTCCTCGCCAAAATCATGAACACCCAGCGCAGTCTTCTGCAGTAAAGGCACCTTGCAAAACTAGAAGGCACGGTCAGCGAAGACGTTGTGCAAAGCTGGAAAGCCAACCCACTACAATCGTTACAGACGCGCAACTAGTGCACGGACACCCAAGTGATCTCAAGTGCCTGGGACAGCAAAGAAATGCAATCGCATCGGTGCCGAGTCGTTTGATTCCTTCCTGGAAGCTCAGCGTCTTCGCTAGCGAATGGATCCCATTGTACCATGGATCGAGAAATCATCTGAGCTTTGCAAATGATGCAAATGGGCCATCAAAAACGAAGGCTGCGGCTAGTTACCCAGCCAGAGAACGGCAATAGGATGGCCGAAAACCTGCAGAAAGACCACTTCTCATTTGGCGATGCTGCGCACCGGACGCTTGGGCAGCGTGGTGCGACGAAGAGCCACGGAAAGGCTTGAGTGGAGCAGGGCTGCCTCGACAAACCCTGACGAAGTGGGCAGCCTTTTCTTCACCAGCTTCGAGATGAATCCCTAAACCCTCTGATGTAATGATATCTGATTCTGTTATTCGTGGGCGATGACCCCAGGATCACTGTCTTATCCACAGCCAGCAACCAGGAAACAGCTTGGAGGTTTTGGCACAGAGATGAAGCTGGAACTGGGTGCTGCCGAGTTTGACGGTTGCTGGCCCTCGCAGCATGCTTCGAACAAGAGACGGTGTGCATCAGCCTGGACCCTCGCGCTCGCTGACGTCCCCCCTTCCAGAATGATGGCCCGTGAACCCGCTGGGCAAGAGTCTTGTTGCACTGCGACCGTCACGTTCGCCTGGCTTCTGACTGGCTTCCTCAATGGCCTCGCCTCGAGTCCCGCGACAGCCCGGTGCGGACGCTTGGCTCTCGCTCGCCGGTATGGCCACCCGCCCAC